CCATATATACTTATTTTGATTATTCTAATCTCAATTGCCAGACGCATTAAAATATCTATAAACTTGCCTAAAACAATTTTTCAAAAATCATAATATTAAATCTTGACTAAAACAAGTTTATGATTAGAACATTACAAAATACATATATTCATTAGGAGAATTCTCACAAATATCACTAAATGAAGGTTTGTTTTAAAAAAATTACAATTTGTCAAATATTCCAAAAATACCACACAATTTCAATTTGATGTCACAAGTTCGAGGCTACATCCTCCGTCTTTTTCCATATTTTTTTTATTTAATCATTTGATAATATTTTTTATAAAAATAAATATCAATGATAATTCAACTGCTCAAGGGTTAACAAACACATATATAATTGAGTTCTAAACACATTCATTGCTCCTTGACTTGAATCACATGGTGGCTCATTCAAATCAATATTGAATTCGCTCTTTCGATCTCCAATCCTAGGTTTAAACGTCACTCACAACCGTATCGTACTTTTCTTTTTAAAATACGTAACAAAATTATGAAATTGTCGTTGGTTCGTCATAACAACAAAAGGACAAAGAGTGTAATTTAGGATAATTTAGGCGTAAATAAGAACTTTCAAATAAAGTTATAGATGGACAAAGAGGAAAAAAAACGTCCTTTCTTTCCAATTTTCCTTATGTGTAATTGTTTACTAATTTATTGTAAGTTTGGTTACTTTGATTCAATTTCATTTCATCTGAGTTCGGTTCGGATAACTTAATTAGTATAGTAATTTTTATACCCATTTAGATTATTATATAATCCAGTTCGGGTTCTAAATTTTAATTTTTAATTAGGTTCGATTTGATTTAGATATTCAGTTTATTTTCAGATGAAACATATTTCTGTGTAAAATCACTGAAAATTCATTTATATACAAACATATATGAAATTTTATATAATAATTCATGCAATATCTATCTATAGTCAGTTATTTTGTTAATTTGAATTATACTAATTTTACACCATAATGGTATAGAGATTTTTTATTGTTTTTTGTCAACTAAATAGTAATATAGAG